GGGGTGGGGGGGGGGCGCGGGGCGGCGGTTAGCCCTGGGGGGGGGGGCGGGGGGAGAGGCGCGAGGCGGCCGTTAGCCCTGAGAGGAGGGGCTGGGGGAGAGGCGCGAGGCGGCCGTTGGCGGCGCCGTCGCAGACGTCGCGTCAGCGGACTGGTAATTTTAGGTTTAAATGTACCTAATGCAGAATGAAAAGGTATTTGTTTACCTGTGTAGGTAAACAGAAGAACATGTATTAGAAATAAACAGGTATTAGAAAGTTAACTTATGAAGACCAACATTAAAATAGCTAATACTTTATTTAGGAATAAGCACAAAGTAACTTATTTTAAAGACTTTACTGCCTTGTCACTGTCGAAAGTGCAATATACAATTGTCTTCAGTTATCTTAGAAAGCCAGACGAGTTTACTTAGGGCCTAGAGTGGAAAACAGTTTTCATTCATAAAATATGAACAGGTTCAACAATGTAGAAATAGATGGGGTTTGAATTAAAATGAATTTTAAAAAGTGAAGAAACAATAGTTTTTGGCACCAAGTTTTTACACAATATGTTATTTTAGAATTAGAATTTTGATAAAGTTACAGAGGTTGTAACTAGTAAGGTGTACTCTTCTACTTAAATAGACACTTACTGGTAAACGGCATAGACTTATATGCAGCAGATATTCTTAATGACAATAATATTTTAGCCCTGCTACAGGTTTCTGTCATCTTTGTTATTCACATAGATCAGAAGAGCTGTGCAGAACACAAGAAGTATCTTTAACTGACTTAGATTACTAAAATTTTAGTTAAGAGTTCAGATAACCTAGTAATTGATGATTAGACCTGTAGTCTTTGAAATGCAGCATTAGTTTTTTTTCCTTAGAAATGCTAGCATACCACTTTTTCAATTTCCAAATAACTTGCAGGAGCGGGAACTATATTTGCTTTATTTTCAAAATGAAATACACCCTCTGTATTTGCAGCTTGAGTGCTTAGAACATCATGGCCTCCACATCTAGCACTCTTATTGCTTCTATGAATACTTAAGAATCTAAAAGTTTATATTTAATGATAAGCTCAGACAAGATGTCTAGATATTTGTTCATTAATATTCAGTTCTTTTGTGATTCAAATTTAATTTTATACCTTAAACAAGGCTGCCAGTCTTGAGTATAGCCCAGTGTATCATTTATACTTGGAATAGTTATATCACTACACAGTATTATGTTCTATGCAAGACCTTTTAACTACTGTATGTACAAAACTGATGTATGTACAATTTAATATAGGGAAGTGTGTTATGTAATTACTTCAAATACATGCATTTAGTTCAGGAAAACTAAAGCATTACAGTAAAAGTGATTTCTCATGCAAAAATGCTCCAATTAATGGCTTTGCAGGGTGTCTTAAAGGCCTATTAACTTCTCATTATTCTGTGTTAAGATTTTGCACTAAAGCTGCTGTATTCATTTTTCTGTGTGTAGAATAGATCTGCACATTTCAACATCATGTCATTAGACTGGGTAGTGCTATTTGCTTTATTTTATTGAAAATGGCATTCCAGAATTTTTCCATGACACATACTGGATGATATTTGTATTGATTAAAAAGTCATGTTACGCTGTCCAATGGTTAGCATGAATGGCTGTGCATTTTATTTTGTCTGATTTTCTTAGAGTAGTTTGTAGATTAACTTTTAAGAGCCCAGATTATGTTCATTTAGGATAGGGTTCTCGAGTGTTTTGGAAAGCCAATGAAATCTTTAATTTTTCCTAGTAGACATTTCTTTGTTGTCATAAAAATAACAAAGATGGGCTCAAGTATGATGTTTTAGGGCCATCACTAGGTTTGCAGCAAGCTTTAGCATGGGTATGAGACCACTGTTTGGCAATGTTTAAATGACTGCTTAGCATTTACATCAGATAGACATAGCAATCTGTTGTTGAGAGCTGCCTGCCTAAGACTGTATTACCAGAACATCTGCACATGTCGAGAACTACTAATCTTTGTGTATATCGTGGGCAGATGTTTCTTGAAAAGGTTCATGTTGTATTCTTTCATGGTGTATTCTTTCTTCCCAGGAAGAATAGTGGGAAAGAGCACATGGAAAAGCTGTTGGATGTAAAATAGTACCACCATTAGACAATCTATGCAACCTAATTTTATCTACTTCCTTACTGAAGAGCTACTAGGAAACAAGATGGATAAATTGTTTAGCTAGCCATAGCCGCCTCCTGTGCCGCCTCCTGGGCTTTCTTTGTCACCTTCCTTAACTATCTGGGATAGTGATTTGCCTCACATGCCAAGAGAGAGGAGCCCTTCCAGAAGTTGATGACCCCAGTAGACTGCTGTCCAAACAATTCATCCAACTCACACCCTGTTTTCCAGATTACTTTTGAGAAAGTAGTACTAATACTGGCATGAATACTTTTAAGTTGGTACATACTACAGCTTAAAATTATCCTTTCAAAGGAGTATAAGGTGCATTTTTAATTTCTAGAATTAAATTTAATATGTTTTTATTCTGGACTAGGAGGCTGTAGAATATTGTAACTTCTTGAAACTGTTTTAAAAGCTAATTAAATTTTACCAACCTTGCCGATAAAGGTTTTCAGCACAAATCTTATTCATGTTAATGTTTTTTTTAGGGTGATCTTCATAGAAGCTACTAAAGACTACATAGAGTTATTTTAGCAAAAATAAGTGGACTAAATTGCTTTGAGCAAGTAAAATGGATCCTTGCTCAGTTGGGATTCAGCTTCAAGTTACCAATGAGTGTCATAAGACCTACTATACCCGTCACACTGGTTTGAAGACTAAGCAAGATATATCTTCATCTGACCTACTGTTACTTCAGCTTAGGACTGGAATGACCCTTTCAGAAAACAATACAATTTGCTTCCATCATGCAAAAATATACATTGAAAGATTTGAAGACTTGCAAAAATCGTGCTGTGATCCCTTTAATATCCACAGAAAACTATCAAAAAAAAACTTACGTGCAATTGATTTAGATGATGCAACTTTTCTAAGTGCCAAGTTTGGAAGACAGTTTGTACCAGGCTGGAAGCTTTGTCCCAAGTGTATGCAGATAATAAATGGAAGCGTGGATGTTGAATCTGAAGATCGCCAAAGAAGAAAACTTGATTCAGATGTAGGTATATGGGCCTGTTTTTTACTACCTCTGAATTCTGTAAGCTGTTGGAGTTGGGCTTCATTTAAGTTCTATGTAAAAATTTTTTAAGAAGAATTTTCTAATAGAAATATGAGAGTGGAACCTTTTAAATGTCTCTATTTAAATGCTCACTATATTTAAGCCTTCATTTTGAAGACTCTTCAGTTGATTGTGTGCCTGTACTTTGAGAAGACACTGAACTTTTTAAATTAAAAAAATCCTCCTTCCTAAAAAACTATTACTATATTTTTAATTCAAGTGTCTGTTCTAGGGCAATTTACCCTAAGTTTATATAAATAGCAAACTGCTACCGTGTATTAAACCTGTTTTTCACGTCTAGCAAAAGACAAGCTTGTGCGCTTAAACTTGGACACTGCAAAGATTGCTTCTGAGGATGCAGAGATACGCTGTGTTGGTCTCTTTGGTTTAAAAATAGTGTCCCTAACAGTTCATTGCCAAGAAAACCTGCACTAAGGTGAATTAAATGTACTCTGCTGTGGTGTCTGAGCTGTGAAGGCCATGGCCTTTGTTCAAGGGCAGTAATGAACTGGCGTGGGAGGAAGATTCTTTAAGAACAGAGTCTGGAATACGGTTTGTATATTGTTGGAAGTTTTGTTCAAGATGTATGCAGATAAACAGCAGAAGAATGGGCAATCAAAATCACAGAAGCTTGTACATATATGCTCTGTAGCAAAACAAAACTGCAACCTAGAAGCAGCTACAATTTCAGCCCAGGCAGTCACATGAATTTTTCAGATGACATGTCAGCATGCTTTACAGACTCATAGCATGTGAAGCTGAAATTTGAAAGCATGCATTCATTACAACTGCTACGGTAAAGCCTGTACCATTGGTTTTTGGACTTAAATCATTCCTGCTTTTTTTTTCAGAGTTGAGACCAACAATTTACCTAAATTGTTTTAAAAGCCTAGCTTGACAGGCCATTTTCTTGTGATGTAGGTTGGTGTTCATATTCAAATGAGATTTTCTGTTTCTGTTCAGGGGCGTACAGCTAAGGCTTTGAAGTCTCTGCAGTTTGCTAATCCGGGACGACAGACCGAGTTCACTCCAGAGACCAGTAAAAGAGAAAAAAGAAGGCTGCAGACAAAAAATACTTTGTTTAATTCAGACAGGTGGGCTGTTTCCAGTATTTATGTTACTATCTTTCATTTCAAAATGGAGTAGCCTTGATAGTCAGTGTCCCTAAAAGACTAACATTTTCTGCAAGGAAGATAGGTTGCTTGTATGGTTTTGTGTTTTTTCAGTCAGGAATAGTTTAACTAAACTGCTGCTATTACTCACATTATTGAAGTAAACAAAAGAAGGTAAAACAAAATACAATCTGTATTTCAATCAAATAAGAAAAAGTATTTGTAGGACCAGACATGGCAATGCTACACAGACTATAGATGAAACTATGAATTTATATGTAAACTGAAAATAAAATATTTAGACTTGAACAGAGAAAGGTCAAAGTAGAGCTATAATCAGTTTTGGTAAGCTCAGGTGAAAAAGCATTTAAGTTAGGGCGAACCTTACCTTTTTTAAAATAAATTTAGTGAATTGTTGTCTAACATGCTGGGCTGTCCTGGATGGCAAGTTAAAACTTCTCATGCGCCTGACTTCAAAATCAGGCATCTGACAGATAGATCTGAGTTCTGTGTCATTTTCCAATTAAGTCTTGATGTTACCCAAATTTGAGAGTAACAGAAGTCTCAGGTGTAACTCGTCCTACAACTTTATATAAAGTCATGCAAGAAAAATGTTTCCGCTGTCCACCTGAAGTTAACCTTACAAGACAGAAACCAGACAGCACTACCTGAGCTGCTCACAAAGCTACTTTCCTTCCATTTTTTCCTTCTAGCCAATTTGGACACAAGTTCTAACCAGGGAAATTTTGGTAAGATTTCGGGAAAAGACTTTTTCCAGGATGCAGTAGTCAGACACTGAGTCAAAGATATGAAACCTCTGACCTGCGAGCTATTCAGAACTTGACCTAAACCACCTAATCTAGCTTGGCCAGACTTTAAATACAGGGTCAGACAAGACTACTTCCAGAGGTTCCTTCCAACTTTTTCACTGATTCTGTAGCTTAACAGAGCTGTAACAGATGACTAGTGAGTAAAGCATAAAGAATATATTTTAATTATTGTGTGCACCCTGAAGGATTCTACATTGCCTCCTTTGAATTGCAACTATACATGTAAAAGCAATGAAAGTAAAAGCAGATTCTTACATCACCTGAAAGGTAATGTAGAGTTAAATTTACTTCGTAACTAAGAATAATATTGAAAAATGATTGAATAAATGATTGTAGTGTTAAAGAAGCTCTAAAACATTCCTATTCTTGAAGTGAGTTCCAAAGCACTGCAATAGTGTAGGTACAATTAAAGAGAGGGAATGTTTTTTGCAAATAGTAACGTGTATACATTTTTTAGATCAGTTGTGTTGCTTTTAACACCTAAAAAAAGCAAAATTCTGTCTATTATTAACATCTTCGTATCAAAATAGATGGATTTTTAACATGGAAATAACTGTTGTTTTTCATTATGCAGGCAAGTTATACCAGCTAAGAGTAAAGTCTATGATAGCCAGGGACTTCTCCTTTACAGTGGAATGGACCTCTGTGATTGTCTTGATGAAGATTGCCTGGGATGCTTCTATGCTTGCCCCAAGTGTGGCTCCAACAAGTGTGGAGCTGAATGTCGCTGTGACCGCAAGTGGCTTTATGAACAAATTGAGATAGAAGGAGGAGAAATCATTCGCAATAAGCATGTGGGTTAGTGTATATATGCATTACTTAGTTCATATTCCATGTATTGATTAAACATAGTGCATTTATCACTCAGAGCTTGAAGCCATTGGAATTTATCATGATCCATATGATCAATGCCCTCATTTTGATATTTTCAACATCATTATGGTAATATTTGGTATCATATTGATATGTTGTCACCCCTCATTCTGCCTTGTAGTCAGTCTTGTTTAGTCATATGGGAAGGTTCTCATTGAACTGCATTATGAAATATAAGATGCTAAATTCTTATGTGACCTTCTTGGCCACTAACGCCATTTCATACACTTGTGTGGAGTGTACGATCTCTATGCATCCCTTATTTATCCTTCTCTGTTTCAGGATCTCCTGGTTTTGATTGTTTTATTTGCGAAATGCACTTCTCTGTTGTAAATTTTCAGTAAAATTACATACAGTATTAATAAAGTTTTCTCCAGTATTAATAGTGAATGCTGTATTTTCTATAGATTATGCCAGCTACATATGATAAATGTAATATATATTACTAACTAAATTCAGAGGTATTTAGTTCACATGTCCAAGTTACTGAGATTTAGGATCGAGCTACCAAAGGAATTCAAATCTCACTGTAATGCTTATTTGCATTGTCAAAGCAACTGAAAAAGCACAATTGTCAAAGCATTGAAAAATATTTAAGCATGTCATTATGGTACTGTGTTTAGCTAGATTCTGCATAATACAAAATAATATATGTGTAACTGGTAATTGGACCGGCATGTCAACATTTCTGTCCTCTTTCTTTTTGCTTGTTTTTAAGGTAAGGATTTCCATTCAGCTGAAGGGAATTCAAGTGTCTGTTCCCAAGCTAAGGCTATAAAGACTGGTACAAAAAACAGTTGAAACTTTTTAGTTGATTTAATATTAATCCTCAGAAGATTGTTATTTCCTGGCATTTTTGTTTTTGTCTAAAGTCTACATGTAATCTTGAATCATATTTAAGGATGCTGTTAACTATCGCCTTCTGGAGTCTTCAGCTTGGTAAAGCTGAATAATCTTGCTATTTTCTTTTCTTGGTAAATGATGTGAAGGAGGTCACATTTCTGAAACATGAAGTTATGCTTTGAGTTGTACTGACATCTGCTGGTCCTAGTGAAGTATAAGCATCAGCTTAAACTCATAGTACATTTGTTAGATCTTCTTGGAAAATAATCAGTCTTTCCATCACAACAGGGGCTCTTCTTCCAGCATGTGCCTCACTAGCCCTGAATTCCAGACACATTTATCACAGGATTTATCATGTGCTTTTGTTTTTGGACAGCAGCATGCTGTTTACATTTTTTCAGATGGCAACATCACAAATGAGTAATAGCTGTTCTATTTGTTAGAAACAAAGTTTGCTAGCCATGATGTTTTCTACATAAAAATTACATTTAATGCATTGCATTATGTTGGTTACTGAGTGTTAATCTTGACACATCAATTAGCAATTGGTGTGTTTTTTCCCGGTTTGGGACTGTTTCAGCTCTTGGGCAACTTTTTAAATTAGATGAAAAAAAGAAATAGATATCTATCTATCTGTGTAAGAGTGAAGAGTAGAAAGCTGCACTAATTCAGTATAAGCAATACCCAATGTTTAATAAACATAACAAGCTTCTAATTTTTATTGAATATAACTTCTCACTAAAGCCTAGAGTTAGACTTTGGATTCAGTAAATGCTTAAATACTTCACTAAAAGGAAAGTAGTTTATATTTTCTAGAGCGCAGAAGTAGTCTTGTACTGCTATATATCCAGTAAATCTCTAATAAATGAATATATTCAGTGTTTTGGTTTGCAAATTCAGTATTAATGACTTCAGCAAATAAATCACTCAAGATGTTCTCAAAAAAGATGTGCAGGACTACTGTTTGAAAACCTGCTCTAAGTACTGGATACTATTGAATGCTGTAAAAGCTGCATAAGGCATAGCAGGATTTTTTGGTGATGGTTGTTCGGATCTGTTAGCTATGTATGAGACAGATAGGACAGAACTTTAGCTGTCCTATTTCTTAAGAAATACTACTAGCAAGACTTGAACACCTTAAGTTTCCTCAGCTATTAGAAATCTAGTTATAGTAATCTGAAGTATTTCACTTCATCCCAGTGAAAAAAGAGCAGAAATAAATAACTTTAATTAGGTGGTTTGTGCTTGCAATGGTCACGCAAACCCAGTTTCTCTAAACTTACTCAAGTGAGATCTGGTGTCTTCTTTTCAGGTTTTATCCTCTATATGTTGGAAATTTTGGTGCAGTCTCTGGAACTAAGTGCCTAATCTGTTAAAGCTGGAGAAAAGGAAAGAACATCCGTCTTACATCACAGAGCAGTAGTACTGTCAGGAACATTCTTGTAAGTGCCAGAAATGTAGCAAGGGTGGTAGTGGCTGGGAAAAATAGAAATCAGGATTATTGCTGTCCAGTGCCCCTTATTTTCCCTAGCTTGCAATAATGACTGCGGATAAGTATTGCCAAGTTCACATTTCCTTCACACTTCACATTTGTCTTGCAACAATCTAATCAATATCAAGTTTGCTACTCAAACCATATATTAATTGAGAGAATGGGAGGTAAATGGTCAATAAAGAATGAAAGGCTAGTATTTTAGGAAAAGAATCCTTCCCTGGAAAAACTGAGAGCAAAGCCACATAACCATTCTGGCTAATAAAAACGGAATCACACCAAGCAAGTTAGTTCCATAGTGCATCCTTTTAGGAATACCATTTCTGTTTAAGTACCTCAGTCAAGAGCAGGTTTTTAATCTAAAGTTCTAGATTGCTGAAAGAAAGATTAATAATGGTAATGATTAAATTAGACATCTTTCTTTCACACAGAATGAAAAAGAAATCTGACATGTAGACAGTTATGGCACTGATTATATCCCTAAACGAGAGGGCCACAGATTTTAGTTCATCCAATTGCCACATAAATGTATCTTTTTAGGTATATGTACTGTTAAAGGTGGCAGTGTCCAGGCAAGATTGCTACCCAATAAATTTGTTGCCCAAAAAGTCAGATTAATAGCCAGTTTACGATATTGGTATCCAGTGTAGCTATATTTATGTTTAGAGTAACAGGAATGTACAATGACATTTTCTCAGTGCCTGCTATAGTTTGGGTCTTTCGAGTTTTAAAAAATAAGCTAAACTAGATCGTTTCCCACACCATCTTTTATTTTTCTACTGAAATAAACTTTAACTTTGCATACACAATGTGACCAAAATAAGTGTCTAAGCTTTAGGGTGCTTGGAACCCATAATGCGCTTTTAAACACTTCCATGTCTTACTCATCCATTTTCCAATTAAAAGATTAGATTTTTTCAAGGCAAACTTTACTATCCTGCAAAGTTTTAAATGTTCACAGCTATGAAATATAACCATGCATTTATATGAAGTTAAATGCCACACAATCTTCTCACTATTAAGTCTTCTATTGCAATCCAAAAGTAACTGCATATTGTATGTACATAGTCCCCAGTCTTTTTGGATTATTCTACAATTAGGCCTGTTAAGTTTTTCTTTTGAATATAGCCAAATGAAAGTTTCCCATACACTAAAGGTTACAAAGTAGCTACAATCACTTTAAAGTGTGTGTAGATCAAAGAGAAAAGCCAACTGTAGATACTGCATTTACTGTGTTAAAATTTTTGCCTGCTGATATTAATTGCAAAAATTGATTTCCTTCTTTTCAATATGTAAAGTTTAAGACATTAATGACAATAAAGTAATTTTGTGGATAATATCTACCTCATGAAGCAATTGAGTTGTTTAAACAGACTCCTGATACGTGATGTAAATAGTTTTAAATATAGTTTTGATTTCTTGCACAGAAAAACCCAACTATTTAAAATAGAGTCAAATTTAACATCATCTAAAACCAGCAGAAATCATCCTATTGGCATAATGAGGTTTACATCAGAACCTTGCAGCCATATCTAAGATATGGTGTGCCCCATTTTTGGTGGATTTGAAGGTTTCAGACTGTGATGAAGTATTATCTGGGATGTTCTTTGTCAAAGCTCAAAAAGCAATCTGCATGTTCATTTACAGTAACTTGTATATAATAACTTTGATTCAGGTAATTAACTTGGAGAAGGCATTTTATTGACCCCTTAAGTATCTACGCTCCTGAAAGGCATTTATCTTTGGGAAAGGTGGTGAAGGGGAAATTAATGATGACAGCCAACTAAGAACAGAAGACTGGTCTCTTAAAAAATGTGACTTCATTGAGTAGAGAATGTAATTCTCTTTTGTATTAATCATTGTAAAAATTATAATGTTCTTAAAGGTTTAGTTTAATACTTAGGTTGTTCTAGATACATCTTCAGTTTTCACTTTTTTGACTGGTTGACTTTCAGGTTCAATAAATAAGTTTCTGAATAAAGCCAAGTATAGGAGATGAGCAAAATGAGAGTGTGCCTCTCAGCTAACTTTCTCAAGAGCCATACTTCACTGGAAAAACAAAGTATTTCTACTTGAGTGGGCTCAAGTATTCTAACAAGCCTAAGTTGAAGACTTCCGAATGGTCTGTAAGTCCTTGGCATAATTTGAATTTATGCTCCCGAATGTACATGAAAGAACTCTAGTACTCTGCAAGAAAAAATGAATTTCTTTTCTAGTGGTTACTTCCAACAGAGACATTAAGGGAAAATATAATGGCATATAGAAAGCTTATAGAGGTTGGCAGGTCTTTCCCATATGGATTCTGTCATAACTAACAAAGTGGCAGGTACACATTATAATGTTACTCAGAGACACAAATGAGTTTAGGTTTCTTTTAATCAGTTTGGCTCTCAACACTCAGACTAATATGGGGAAATTCCACTTAATTTTGAGTGGTCATCCGAGTGGACAAGCTTGCACAAAAAGCAGGATTTAATAGATCCAAAGGTCAGACTAAAAGCCTTTAAGGGGAAAAAGAAAAATACAGTTAAGGCAAGACTATTTTCCCCTATTTTTTTACATATGGATCCTATGGATCCTTTTTTAAATATGGATCCTTTTTATAATATGGATCCTATAAATACTCTTAAGAACCAGCGGACAACTGCACATGAGCATATGCTGAACACCCTCGGCTACACTGAGGTGGGGCAGTTGTGTGCAATCTGTCATATTTTAGGTGACAGAAACAGAGCTATAATTGACCTTGCTAGAATCATTATTAAAGTTCTTAAATTGCCCAGTTAATTCTTCCAGGAGTTTTGTTTGAAAGTGATTATTGATTTCAAAATACCCAGGTTTACGTTTTGCCCAGCAGAGGGCATCAGTTTACTACAAACCTGATCACTTAACTTTTTTTTGGTGCACTTTGTAGGGGGTGCATCTGCATTCACTTCAGCAGAGCGGATTTCATTGTAGGACAGATTCAGGAATCGTGTCCAAGACCAGAGATGCATTATTCAGGTCAATGAGGGTGCAAGAGAGCAGATTCAAATACAAGATTATCATTTTAAAAACAGAAGGACTAGATTTGCTTTTTGGTTTTCCTAAATATCTTTTTCTACATATACCTTTTCTACATATACCAGGTGTGTATGAATACAAGTCCTCATAAATGAATTTACAGTTTACACTTCTCACTATGATAATTTGATCTTAAAACTCCAGCCATAGGAATTCAGTGCTAAGTAGTGTAAAAGAAGCCCATTCATAACAGGGTCCTGCAGTCCTTAGTGAAATGAAGGCTTTCTGACATCCACACTTGCTGCTGTTAGTGTGCAGTACACCACTAAAGGGTTGCACTCATTCATTTTCCAGAACAAACACTTGTACTCTGGCGTTCTCCTCTGTTCCAGTGTTTAGAGTATACATTAGCACAGCATTAAAAACAACATGGAATACAAGTCACCCATAAGCAACAGCACTACCTACAATAAGCTACTGGAAGTAAACAACGGGAGGGATTTACTGTTTGTACAGAGTCCTAGGCTGCACATTGAACCAGCAGAAAAAAAAATGTGCTGTTTTTCTCCTTGTGTAATTTTCTCCTTGCTTATTTGTTCTTGCCTTCTTTGCGTAATAGCTGTGCCCACTTTAAATCCTTCATATCAGCCACCAAACAAACAGCATGAAGCAGACATTAATTTGCTTATTGAAAAATATAAGAACAGTTGCAACAAGCATCAGCTAAACATCCCAAGTTAGCCACTTATTAGCATTATCAGAACCTCAAAAATTCTAGAAGAGAAATTGCTGGGAATTCAATGTTTCTACTCAATTCACAGACTGTCGGGCCTCACAAACCACCTAAACAAGTGGAGCTAAGTGTCAAAATATGCTCTCAAAGGTCAAAGTCCCAAATAAAAACCCTTTTTGTTTTATAACCTCATAGTTCTCTAACAGTTTCTAGACAGACAAGCTAAATCCTTCTATTTTCATTGTTGCTATGACCTTTTGCTTGATGACCAGCTCATTTTAATAGTAGTTATATTGTTAATCAGTGATTATATTTCAGTCTGGTTTTCATTTGTTTTCTTTGCCGATCTGCCTTACTTCCTGGGAGTTTCAACTCAATCTCTTAAGAAAAGAAAAAAAGTAGAGTTAGTTGATACTTTGCCTAGTATGCCTAATCTCAAGACAAACTCCCAGGTTGTAAAGACTTCTTAGATCACTACTTAGGTAAACCCCCAAGTCTTAGCTCTACTGTTCTGGCAAGTTTGTCTGGCAGTTTTTTCTGTATTGACATTAGCAAGTTGTTTTCTCATAGCAGTGCATTCATATTAAGTCCTTTTGACTTAAGCAAAACAACATGTGGGTAAGCAATCCAGGCTAATAGGTCAGTTCTGCACAAGTGTAAATGGCAAATCTGACTTGATGAAGTGCTGAAGCTGATGACACTGTTCCCACAAAGACACTGTTCACCTTCAGCTGTCATACATGCTTTTGTAATGACAAATCAGTAAAAATTGCACCAATGATCTGATGAAAATGAGCCTCTTAGCCCCAGTGGAAGGTGGCTACTAAGCAACCATCAATATACAGCTAAAATAAAATATTCTGTTACTGGGAACTCCTAATAAAACGAGTCTGCAGGACTGGTCCCTGAAGACCAGTTGCTCAGAAGCATTAAGTCTCTGTAAAATCATTAGAAGTTGAATGCCAGATGCCTGAATCTGGCCTTAAGTATCTGGGCCTCCCATTGCAGTTCAAAATCAGATTTGGAGACAGGGACAATACAACAGAACATGGGAAGACAGAATAGATTACTTCTCCTGTCATTTGTGCTGGATATGGTCCCAGTAAAGCGAGGTAGAAAGCTAAGTAATTAATTGACACTAATGCAAGCTGGTTGTAATTGTAGGCAAACTTGGAATTTTATTTTTCTCAAGAGAAAGTTTTCTTTCTACTGTTATGCTGGGGTTTTGACTGTGCCAACGGTCTCTGCTTTATGACTCCCCTGTGTTAATTTCTTGTCTATAAATTGCTGATTCTTTAAGGTAAAACATGGGGCTAGATCTGTTTTGGAGTAAAGCAAACTGCAGGGCCACTGACAAAAGAAATTAATCGTAGGAATCACTGCAATGTGATTCAGAAAATGTGTACAACTTCTTCTGCAGATGCGAGTGAACACAACATTCAGTTTTACACACATGCACCCCCATCTGAACTGCGTATCTCTGTCCAAATGCGAAATAATATACTGAGCTACGTATTTCCTCATATACCGATTGAGTACATAAGGAAATCCTTATTTTTAAGTAATACTTTTCTCCTGTAAAAAATTTCTCCAAAATGGTAGAAACTAAATCATTAACTTTTTTGGTTGTAATTGATTTAATTTTAAGTTGAGCAATGCCCCAGATGGCCTAAGGCTTATTCAGATCCTGCACACCATCAGGTAGTTTCTGCTTATTTCAAATCTTGGTAAAGATGTTTGTATGTGTGTTTTTCATCTGATCCTTGTACGCAGTTTTATCTAGTCGAACTAGAGGGAGCTCACCTGTCAGAAATTCAAGGCGCAAATTAATTCATATGAGTTGCCGTGAATTAGAGTAGATTTGTTTAAATCCTCCTGAGAGAAGCTGACAAGGAAGATGCAATGATGCTTTTCTACCCAAGTGCGTGTTCTCCACTGTAGGGCATGGCTACAATGAGTCCAATACCTAAATGTAATGTTGGAAAATATTGTTCTGCATCTCCTACTTCAATGAAAGGTTCATTCATCACACAATTGCAACAGTGAAAGAGACAGTTCTCCCTAAGGATTGGAACTATAGCTCTTGTCCATCTTAAATCCTCCCTTTCCTCCAACTCTGCCAGTTTCACAATTTGTTTTTCTCTTTTAAACTTAATTGAAAACCTTTGTCTGCGAGCCAGCACTAGTTGATGATGCCTCTTGCATGTCAGAAATTGCTACTGACATTCCAATTTTGCTTCATTTTTCCCATTCTTTGGATAGCATTAAAAAGAAATTTTGTATTTGAGTAAAAAACAAATAATATATGCCAGAGTAAGCATCAGAGAATGTCAAATTGTTTTTTTTTTTCTCCAATTACAGCTCCATTATAAACAGAGTAACGCAACTAAAGGATAATTGCTAGGAGTGCAAAGCCAAGGGTATGATCATAAATGGTTACCCTTTCACTAAGTGCTGTCTTACTAAATAATATACTCTTTCAGGGCAGGTTACTTTGCATATCTGTAAATATCTGGAAGCAGCCAAATGGCACTACTAGTTGAGTGCATATTTGTTTATAAACTACTATACTAAGAAAAGAAGACAGTTATAGGTGGCTATTACTGATCAATAACAGCATAAATTCACCCTTTATCAGTTTCCAGTTCTATTTCCAGTGTCTAGAACACTATAAGGAATGGTGATGGAAAGTGGGCTGTTGTTTAGTTGGGCACCAAGAAAGCTAAGGGGAGTTTCAAAAGCTGCCTGAAGCTGTTTGAAAACAGTGATAAAGGTGAAGCTATAAAGGCACTAAGCTTTTCTTGATAGAGCCAGTCTGTATAATAAGGAGCAACAACCACAAAGTAATACTTGGCAGGTTCAGACTGGACATTAGGAATTTTTTTTTCCCTCTAGAATGATAGTGCAACAGTGGAATAGGTTGCAAAGAGAAGCTGTGGAATTTCCATCCTTTTTAAAAGTTTTTAAAGATTTAGTTGGATAAAGCAGTGGCAGACCTGTGGCGCCTTTTCAGGGGTGGGGTTCTTCAGCAAAAACATAGATTTTCACTAGCTTCAAACTTCGAAAAAGATCCATGGACTTACACTCTACAAAAATCTGCCTTTTTACATGGCAGCCTGCTGGTATAAGGCTTCTGTGTTATAAACCATTACTAAGGTTTTTTTCCAATATGTTTTATTTAAGTGCATAAAGTAAAACAGCATTTATTTATTATTACCTACTTTACCTGCCTGATAGTAGTGCCCAAAAGAAGCCAGGACTCCGGTTTGCTGCACTTTAAACCATTATTTGCTGTAAGAAC